GCACACACACAGAAGCACATTTATTTATACGTATCGAAAGACTTACACTACTTCACAAGCCAACTGCATGGTTCGTTCGATCCCGTTCAGTAGACACGGACGCAGATGTGTGTGTAACCATTGCTGATAGTGGTTTGCCGTGGATATGGCCATGAGGTAATCATTATGAAGTAAATGCAACTTTCTGGTCGCGATTTCCAGATTGGTCATCAGAGCTTCCATTGTTTTGCGATTGTACGAGGTGCCTGATGCGAGAGATACCAAGGGGATTGAAGAAAAAGATGAGAATTATGGCAATATTACCGGTACCTTATTCAGAAGCAGCATTTAAAACAACTTCCTTCGCTAGGATCACCCAGATCTGATCGGTGATCAAGTTAGAAAATATACAATCGAAACCCAAGTCAGAATGTGGATAAGGAAGAGTACTGTAACTGTTGTGGATTCCTTGATCCACGCGCTTACTGCGGCTCCTTGGAAAGGATAAGCCGGCTCCAGACATGATCATGAAGTTACTTGGGAGTTTGGTACGAGAGACGTCCCCAGCGCCACGCGGCGTACTTTTTATTTTGTGACCGCGCACTTCTAGCCTTTGCACAACCAAATGCAAACTGCACAAGGCAGCAAGAAGTAAGCTCCCTCGCCTTGGAAATGAGGGGGTTAATTATTTTAGTTTTAAAATGTCAGTCACATCAACCTTTGTCACGACACAATGATTGGGCTTATGCGGCTTTTAAATAGGAGCCAGGTGACCAACCTGAAACCCACCACACCTTGGTAGTGCCGCCACCGCTGTTTGTTCGCGACTGCTTATTTGTTGCGGTATGCCACAAGTGATTTACAGCTAACCTTCTTCGGTGAAGGTAATCCCCTATCCACAACCCGGGGATGCGCCTGGTAGAATTCAGTTCTGCTTAAACTGAGGGTATCCGCCCGCGTCAATTGTGTGTCTCATTCCGGGTCCAGGTAACCTATCCAAATTCAAACTGCAAACTGTGCAATTAGGTAAGCAGACTCTCCGGTAAACAAGTTGACCGGCGCTAGGATATACTGTTTGCATCATTGGTTCCATCACTAAACGACAGTAGTAGTATCAAAAGTCTCAGGAGAGAGAGACAGGGGTGGGTGGGTGGATGGGAACGTTTCAAATCGCGGCTGATAACACCATGTTGACGGAGATTGTGGGCGAAAGGATTTTTCAATCACAGAGCATTAATGAGTTAAAAATGGGTCATTCATATATGCCTCATAACAAGCTAAATGAGGCAAATACAAGGCGTTTTCAGGCTTTGCGATGGCGTTTATAACACGCCAATTAGTGGTTCAACTTAATCAAGTACAGAGTGGAGAACAAGCATCCGAAAAGTACATGTTCACGTCTACACCCCGGTAGCGTCGTCCACTTTGTGTCCGCTTCTCTGAAACCTAATGACTATCGAGTCAGTTAACCAAATTGCCCGTTCATGGAATTCGTCCAGATAAAAAAATCACAGATGGAATAGACAAAAACAAACATTCATGCGGAGCTCTCCCCCACCGCTGTGTGCCAGTCATCACGACCACAATTCGGTCAATCATGAGGACGTTTGCCATACGATGTTGCTCTGTAGATCATTCATTCATCCAGTTAGAAATCCTTTGTGTGTTTTCGGAACACAAATTGTACACACCCGGAACTGACGTGATTCACGATTTTACACATACACATACACACATCTCACCTACGGATGGTTTCATTTTGGCCCACTGATTACTGGACCGTGGGACTTACGTGTTTATGCAAATGAGGACAGAAGATGGAAAGTGCCAAACAGGAAACTGTGGAACAAAAGTGACCATGCATACAGAGAGCGGACGAAATAAGCGGAAGTTGACATAACTGGATATGGTGTTGGTTGTTTAGTTACTACGCGTGCGATAAGCTGATCTAAGCAATTCGTGTAAAGCGCCCAATAACTGAAATCACGAAGGGAGAGGGAGTCGTACGAGGTTTTGCACCAGACACGACACGGAAGTGACCACAAGTGATTACAGTCTGAGTTCAGACTGTGTGCCAAACAGATCACACACAGTACAATGACCGTTATAAACAGAACAAGTTCCATGACTTTCTTCTAAGCGCAATACTGTCAGGTTGCACAGGTCACACAACCGGAGACATTTGAATAGCCAAAGACTAACTCTTAAAGCCGGTAAGTGGGGAGGTGTGTAAAAAACCGCAATCCATCGAATCAGATACAGTCTGGATGGAGTCAAACGTCCAAGGTGCCCAACTGAACAGGTGACCACGGCCACAACCAAAAGGCTGTGTGTGTATGTGTGTGTGGTTCGCACGCCTCTTCTTGATTGGTTTGGAGATCGTCTGGCCCCCGAAAGTATAGCGCTGAAGAACCTCGACCGGATTTGCATCAAGAACAATTTATCCAATCCAAGCCCTGTTCAATGAGACTAGCACAACTGACCGGTCGGATTGTTTGGTGTGGCGCAGTGGTTTAGTCGCTGTCACTGGCGTGCTTTGGACTGTATGGTACGAGGTTCGAGCTCCTTCACCGCCACCCAGGCAGCTTTGCTATCGTCCGGTTCAATAACACGCATAATCTATAGTGGGGCCTTATGTCGTTTACCACTCCAAGTCCCGTGGGGCTTAGGTTACCATCACTTTTCATTACTGAACAGCAGGTCTGTTGTGAATCATACCAAAATGTGTGAGATAAAAAAGAGTAGACATGTGTTAGAACCCAAACAGTGGGCGTGAGATATATTCTGTTGTTGCTTCTCGTGGCTTATTGTGTCCATAGGTCGTCATGTTATTGGCACATATTGAGTGCCTACCAATAAGGGAACTACTACTCTCATCGCATCATTACTACGATCCGAAAAAGGGTTGGTGAATCATTGTGTGATCGATCCACGTTTGTCCAACAGTTGTCCACGATAAAGGCGATTGCTGGATGAAGGTCAATCGGATCAATAAATCAGGATGGAAAATGCACATCGAGCAAATAATTGCATCAGTGAACCGAAAAACGGGATCAATCATTGCTTGAAGAACATTGAAAAGAGAAAAACTGATCTGAACAACAAGATCCAATCAATAAGTCAGGCAAATGGAGTGGTGGGTGGATGAGAAGGACCAGTTCACCAAGTGAGCTAGCTATAGTGAGCAGATTTGTTGTATAAATTTGTTCAGAAGGCTAGTTCCTTCTCGTGTAAGTCGTTTAAATTCCAGAAATGTTTGTTTGTTTTAAGAGCCTATTTCAGAGTGACATACTCATCGGCAATTGGAACAGTTTTAGGCTAGTTTTTCGTAATATAAAGTAAATGTCAATATAAAGAGAAATATTGGGGAAAATTCACGTATGAACCACTTTATTGATTCTGCGTTTTAGCAGAGAAAGATTACAATTGAATGGGAAGACAGAAAGTGGAAGGGCGTTCTTTAGTTGAACGGCTCGAACAGGAGGGGGGGAGGGAAGCTTGAAAGAGTACGACAGTTCGTGACAGACATCTGATAAGGATGACAAGATGCTTGTTCACGGAATGGACAGAAACAGGAACTACCGAGGAAAGCTACGAGGAACAAAAAAACAAAATAGTAACGGTAGAGAAGAAACAGTGAAACAATGGCTTCACGATGGGCTAGCGACCGGAAATTGTAAGTTAGGGAACGTTCGCGGTCGCTTTTNATCAAGAAAGGAAACAGTAGAAGACGAAGTCTCACTCCACGGCAGCATTCACGTGTATGTTTCAGCTTTGTACAATAGGAAATCAGCCGGGGAGAAGTAACATCCGGCGCGGATTAGAACACCAACATCATACACAAGCTGAGAGTGAGACAAGGAGATCAACATCATGAAAAAGTTATAGCTGATCAAAAAATAAGAAAAAGTCTGTGGAAAATAACTGGGTTGAATTAAATGGTGTAATTGTGTGTGGGGGGCGGGGGGACAATAGATCAGACAGCTCCAAAAAAGGGAGGGTTTTGAAGCAATCAACACAACTGGATTGTGTTAGTCCCAATAGCAGATGTGCTGGAGGTCAAAGTCCAAGGACACACTAGCTGCACTGCGGTCATGATCAACATTTTGACTGGCATATGTGGTGCGGTAAGAGGGAAAGAGAGTGGTGAAGGGTGGAGTCATAACCAAAGGAGTGGATTGGGTTGAAATTCTTGGGCAGGAGGTTATTGATCAATATAAAGGGTGGGTGCTAATACTCAACCTTGGGGAATGCATACATTCACAGGAACCGACTAATATAGAACCCGATCAACTCAACGGCAGATGGTTTGCCTACCGAGGAAATTTCGATAACCATGAAACAAGAACCTAAGAAAATCCGAACCCGGTAGATCTTCATGTCAAACTTGATCGAAGCTTTTTGAGTTCCAGGAGTGAGACCAGGCGTGTGATTATTCGGTGCGACAGCCAGGACTGTGAGAAAACAGTTACCAAGTGTGACTCTCTAGTAATTCGACTTAACAAGTAGTTATCTACGACATGCACCGCACACCTTGAAAAGTGTAACTCTGTGTGACGAGACTGGGGTTGACTAAACACTCAATCTCATTCGAATGAGAGAAGTAATCGGGAAAAAAGGTTGGCTACTTTCCAACCAAACGAAAAGCGAATAAAGTGACGGAGTGCACACAGAAAGGTCGTCCGATATTTGCCAACCTGGAACACTTTTAGCATCGTTGAGACATCCGGCAGTTTCACCGATGAAGGACTCGTGTGGTGAGGACCAGCACACGTCTAAATCTTTATCCCGTGGGATCACCCCATTTCGCACTTGTTATTTGATCACTGAACCAAATTGGTACCCCCGAAAGACAGTAACCAGTGGCCAGGGAACGAAAATGCAGAACTGGTTATTCGAAAAATTGTAGCTGTTGTGCAAACAGGTCGACCAGCATCGGTCTGGTGTGGTATAGTTGGTATAAAAATACGTCAATAGAGGACAAGCCTGATGAACCAAACCAGGAATGAATAAGTCTGAACTACCGAACACGCAGTTTATGCATTCATTCGGACCATTCGCAACCGAGAGAGAGAGAGAGAGAAAGATCGGACTGGAATGAAGAAGAACAACACTAAAAAGAAGACAAACAGACCGCGCGCCTTGTGGAGAATAAAGCGCGCTATCAACATTAGGAGGAACACGTGCCAGATACTGGTATAGAGATAGATACATAGACACACACACACACACAAAACCGCTAGACTAGCAGACTGCAACTGCTCATCACACGAGCATTCATGTCTGTATACGCGTGTGTGTGTGTTGCATCACCTAGCCTGATCCACGATGCCAACTCAAAGCTGTCATACACACACGTTGACACAATCAGGACGATGAGGAGAGGGGTATGGCANCAAACCGGAACACAGGCACGCACGTGGCAGAAGCCTACCAAACAAATATGTACTGCTCGTTCGCGGGCACACACACGTAATGATGGTTATGCTATACTATGACAACGAGTAGAGCCGAATTTGCACTACCGTCAGGGAAATGTGGTGTGGAAGTGGCAGTGGATACACATAAACGTGAAGTGGAGACCAAAGAGTAGAACACCCCAAAGGAAAATACAATAGAATCAGGAGCGACTGTGTATGCGTACAAATTCTGATGCAAACCGCTTCTGGTTTTCTGTATATCCAATGTAGATGAACATCTTACTGAATGACACTCGATCAATCACACAGAAACGGCATCACACACAACGGAAATTCAAACATTGCAAATCAATAGACTGCAAAGATGGAGGTATCATAGTTTTGCACACTGTGTATAAAATGTTTCCGGGATCAGCGATTGTCATGTCTAACGTAACTCCTCCACCAGACCATTCACTAGGACAAAAACACATTGCTGATTAGAATTTTTCGATGAAACAATGTCAATGGGTGATGATCACAACTCACAAACCAGTCCACAGTTCCTGTCTCAGTGTCAGTTTTTACAACCATTGACCATGCACTTTTGTGCGCCGGTTTTGGTTGCTGTCTTTTGGTGCTACATGTGGATAAAAGAGCAGAATGAAGATTGGAATGTTGAAAGCAAATGCGAGCGAAAGATGGAGAGTTCATATTTTTTAATTTTTACTTCCTTTTATTGAATACACAATGATACAATTTTCAGGAAGGAGGAAGCGGCCAATCAAAGGGCTACCATGGGGAAAGTCAGGCGGTGGTGGTGTGGTTCGAACACACGTCTCCCGAGGTGGTACTTTGGTGACGTTACCACCGGACCACCACCGTCCATAGAGTGGTGTTGGGAGAGTAATCAGTGGATGCACGAGCACCACTGTTTGTGACACCCAGCCATATCAATGAGTGTCTCTAATAATCGGTGACCATCACGACGAGACTGCACCTTGACGTGGTGTGATGGCTTGCGTGCATCCATGACCCTGCGAGCTACACAGGATGGCTTTTCACTGCCGTAGATCCAATTCTGCCTGGAAGGTCAACCGGTAGAGGTCAGACAAAGCTGAATCTCACAAAGCCAGCTGCTTGGTCAACTCCTGGCTTCCTTATTCCATCCACATCCGCCCCGGGAGAGGTCACTCCAGTAAATAAGCAAGGTGAGGGGCAGCTTACCGGTTGAAAAAACCCTCGCTAGATGGACGTAGGAGCGGGGTACTTTGGGCTTCCTTTGAACGGTGGGAGAAATCTTCGCACCTCATTGGTCAGCTACCGCCCGCTCAAGCTAGGCATCCCCCAGCCAATAAGGTGCTGTCCCGTCCACGTTCCGCTTGTCTCATTAGATGCACGAGACTAAGGGCCGATCCCGAAAAGCGGACTGTCCACCAACGTGCCGGCGAAAAACACACCGAACCGAAACCCGAAGGTCTCTAGAAGCTCTCACACGGGTGCTACGGTCACGCTCCCACGTTGGATTTACGCCCCACTGCCTAGTGGGTCAGACTTTTGAGTCAAAGACTCCAGTTAGGGTTCCCAAAGAGAAACCCCTTCATCGATGTGGGCTACCGTGAAGTATGTCATGCCCTAAAGTCTTGGGCAACCATTTGGAAAACCCGTCCACACACACTCCTGAATAGTTTGCGTGTGTGCATGTGGTGGGGAAAGACGGTCGTGTTGTGCCCGTGAAAAACAGGGTGGACTTTACGAACGGTAACAAAGCGCATTTGGTTTGACTCAACGTGTCAGATGTGAATAGTATTCGGGAAACATGCTCAGAAATCAAATATCTCAATCCGCTATAAAGGAAAAATTGGCCGCCGAAACTGTGAAACAATGCAACGAGCGTTCTCTTCAAACCGGTTTCGAGTAAGAGGAAAACAAATTTACGTTATGATTCAAGTACTCCCCAGTCACCGGATTCTTCTTTAAGCCACTTGTTCCACTCTTGGTCGATCCGGTTTTTTGACGAAAACGCTCTTTGCATTTTTTCGCAGTTGCACCCCCGATCTGCTTTTCGGTTTGTCCATGTCCGTCCAACTTGCAACGACTGACAACTGAGTTGCGTATCCAGAGCAGCGAAAGGTCAACGCAAAGCGGCCGGCTTTCCTTCCCACGAACACCCACAAACGATTTAGGAGGGTGTATGTATAGACAGGTTTGTGAGTTGTGATCATCCATTTGAGATAGAGTTTTGTCGAATAAAAGTGCGACTGAACCGCAGCTGAAGTTTCTACCGAATAGTGTGGTCTCGTCTTTTATGAATCGCCTGATATCTAATACAAGCAGCATGATAAGCAGAGAGACCAGATAACCAAAGGAAAGGGAAAACGAAATCCCTGATCAGACATGGTGGAAATATGTGGGTTGCACTCACTGGGCTAGCTTGTCGTGCACTACCTCATATGTCCATTCATTAAAGAAAAACAAGAAAGCATGGATTGCTACTAGGACTTAAATCAAGCTACGAGCGGTATTCAAACAGTGACTGGAATTAGGGAGATCATCATGATGAATGAGTGAGGATAGACTGTCAGGTGCGAAGGAAATGAAGCGGTAAGCCTCCAACGGTGCCACCCTCGCCCCCCCCCCATTGGAGAGTTTGTTAGAGTTGCTCGTTTGATATCAGCAATGGTTGAACACGGTAGCACAATTTAGAGTCGCCCAAAAATGTGTTCCACCTGCCTTGACGACTAAGTACAAAGGCGTACCGAGAGATGTTTAGCGACAAAGCTACGAATCCTATCGGAGCGGATAAATAATTTGAGGCTCAGCCCGAAAAGGAATGACGAATTCGGCAGCACCGGCACCCTCTAAAGGCCAGCAATCGAGGCGTGTGGTAGGGAGACAGGACAAATAACATGTTTGACTGAAACTGAACGCATCACTCCATGACGCGTATTGCTGTCATATGGATGGATATGTGGTTGTTATGGTTCATCCGATGGGAGCCATTCCGAGGAAGCGAAATCTGCATGTGGACGACCAGTTTTGGAAGCACTGTAGCACTTCACCGAAAGCATACACGAAATCCTGTCGATCTGTGTGCGGAAATACGTAAAACCCTCTGATCCTACAACCTAGCACAATGGAGAACAGACCGCGGGACCTCACAAAACCACGAACACGAAAATCTCTCCAAATATGGAAGCACATATGGACGTATGTGTGACTAAACATGATTGATACATGAAACACGTGAGCGGTGGTAACAGAACACCAACGGAATGATGAAACAATAGAGAGAGAGAGACTCACGTTTATCACACAAGCTTGTCAATTTGGTACGCAATCCGGTCAGCTGATCGGCATACTTGACATACTTCTTCTCACACGCTTTCAGATTGGCTACATACTGAACAACAACGCGAGTGAGCGATGAACGAAAGGACATGGGGAAGGAGGGAAAAGATGAAAGATTGGGGTGGTGGGGGTGGTGGTGGTGGGTATTTATACGTGTANTGTATCGTACTAGCATGCATATGAGGACCGCGCGGCCTAGTAATGCGCTCGGGTGTCGACTAATCAGTAAAAAGCGGGTTCGAAAGCAAAAACCTTTCTTCTGGTGAGACTGGTTTGTTGAGAATCATTCTTTTGTGTGCGTGGCCTTTTCTGTACATGGGAAGATTATGCGATTTTGATTGCGCAACCTAAGCACCAATTGTGATTGCTTTCAACGCCCCAGACATCAGCGGAGATCAGACGCGCTCGGTATTCGGGGATCTCAACAACCAGATCGAACGATGCGAGTAGAACTGCATCCTTAACATCACAGTCTAAGTCACCCAGCATAGGCAAGAGATATTTACATAGGTGAAACTGTTTTTGTGAATGAGAAAAGCCTTGATTAAGTGAATTAGCAAATTTGAAATATGATTTGCCTGGTTATTTTATTTTGGTGCGTTTATTTGTGACCTGTCCTGACCTGACCACCACAACCTGATAATCGTCATGAAAGTCGAAACCGAATCCCGTCCTCCTCGACCCAAGCATCTAAGTAGGGACATTCGCTTTCTACAAGTAATGCTGAGGTTCGGCGTAGAGTTTTAGGCAATCGCGGTCGTCCACTGGAGCAAGTAGTCGACCTGCATAGATTACGTTGGTTGGGGCACGTGTTACGCAAGTCACCAGATAGGTTGCCACAGCCAGCGATGTTCGCCGAGGCGGGTAGTGGGTGGAATAAAGCCAAGGGTGGTCAAGCTAAGACCTGGCATTAGGGTATGAAAAATCTAACTAGGATACTGGGTCACATAGGTACCGTTAGGCTCCCTGGATGGGGACCCCGAGATCAAGGTCACGGGGGATTAGAGACATTGAGCGATGTGGCTGGGTGTCGCAAACAGTGACGCTCATGCATTTACTCATTATTCTAGCAACTGCAGTGTATATGAATTCTCTATCTTCGCTTAAATTGGTTCTCAACATTCCAATCTTTATGTTGTTCCTTTATCCAAATTGGTGACCAAAAGACAGTAACTAAAACCGGCTCATGAAAGTGTATGGCTAGTGGTTGTAAAAACTTAACTGAACTGAACTGGACATCATGAAAGTTGAAAAAAACGTCCCTCGTCACCACGTGTATTCAAGCCGCGAAATTCGCTGTCTACAAAAGTCTCACAAATAACCGTGAGTTAAATGTGAATCGTCATAGTAAAACAGTTTTTTTCCACGCGCTTCACAACCCAAGTTTCACGCTTCGGGGGTTGACAATGAACGAAATAACAGGACAAGCGAATCGTGCCAAAGGTATAGATGGACGGAACAGTTCGACTACGGAGAGCTATTAAACCAAAACAGACTAATCGGAACGGTGGGTGCGCGGCGGTACAACTACGAGAAGAAAAAACAACAACCCAATAGGATCCTATCTTTCACAAACTGGAACCGGGAGCCGTGAATGGACGAATCGCATTGAAGGTCTGAAGGTCAGGAGCCTCCGGTTTCATGTTTCACGTCTCAAATCTCTTTCTATCCCAAATCATCTCATAAGGCGTTTTTGTTTTTGCTTGGGTTTTGCTACAGTGGCTTTATAGGTCACTTGTTATCTTCCCCAGTCTTTTTAACCAGGACCTCAAACTCATTTCCCGATCCCTCAAGTTTCTGTCGATTTGCAGTCTCATACCACGGGAATATCTGGTACAGCATGTGGTGACACACTGCCTCAAGTCCTGTAAAACATTCTACAGTAAGATTTTAGCTGATAGTTCCCATCCCATTCAGTCTGCTCTTCGTCAGTGCTTTTGGTACTCATCCACCCGTTCAGGTCATAAACTTATAGAGGAACGCACGAAAGCTTACAGACACTATTGCACCGTATCTCGCCAGATTTCTTACAAACGATGAACTCGTTGCAGAAAATCTGAGCAAAATGCTAAACTGAACCAATCAAAAACACCCTGCTATACCATTGAGGTTTCTTGGTGTGGCTGTGAGTTTCACTTCTTCGTATTGTTTTATTACATTTCGACTGTTAATTGTTGACACACTGTGGTTATGTGGTTGTTGAATATCCACCCTTGGAGGTGTATACAGCGATTTCTTGACTGGATTTGGTAACCCCTCGCCACGCACCAATGATGGGATAATGGAATATTCGATGACGGACAGACAACGCATTTGGCACAGCTAACTAACCAAATTTTCCCCGAAACTGTAGAAAATACCTTTCGTTTACATAGCTGGAAATCAGACGCGTCAAAAGTCTTAACCCTTCAGAATCCCCAATTTGTCCGAAAAAGGATGGGTCCTTTACAAAGTGCAGCTGTCAGAAAATTGGTTGTGAAATTCTGTTAACCGTCTTCAAGTAGTAAGGATGTTTTCACTAAAATGAGAGGGTGAAGTGTTGATAACCAGGACTGCAGTCTAGTCGGTTAACCACAGGTAGCGAGTTCATCAAAGAAAGCTGAAAAACCATGATTCTGAACCACCCAAGAACAGGCTTTATAACCTCATGGTCGCCATGGTCACCAGAATAGATTGAACGATTGATATATTGGTCTTCCTGAACTAGATTCCCAGGGTGTATGATCTATTTTATCATCGGTCCTGAATGGACCGCGGTTTTGCAAGTGAAGTTTTGACTAGCCAAAGGGGTGCGAATATCTCCAAGAAAATCACATGCCTAGTTGAGACAAATCGGTACCATTGAGCCCACGAACGAACCAGAAAATAATTTCTTTTCTTCTGTTTGAAGAAGATGTTTGTTAGTCATCATTTATTCGACACAGCCGGCACTCACATCACTGTGGAACACATCCATCCCGTGATGATCGTTCATGTTGGGGTGAGAATAATCCAGAACATTAGAGGGGAAGGGGCAATTTCTCCTAAGAGTGCACAGTAAAACATAATAGACATCTGTTGAATGATGATGGAACATATAAATGAGAAATGGTGTCTGTCAAAATTCGAAAACGCCTGGGTTCGAATCCCACTGCTGGCACCATGTCAAAATTTGGTTTTTCAGGAAATGCTCTCGATATATTTTCTATGGTTCATTGGACACGAATCACATTAGGGAAGAGAATCACAGGCGTTTATATATACACCTCGACCAGTCAGATTGTTCGACGGGTAAAATTAAAGTCTTATACGCGCCAATCATAAAACCACAATTGATGCAGTAACACACAATAATCAATTCAAACAACACTTCCAACACAGTATCTATTCTGTCAACCGGGACATAGTAGGAAAAAACCTACAAGACCGACCTGTTGCAAACGTCTATACCATTTCAAGATAGCTTTGAGAAACTATAATTTTCATTTGCGAAACCGTCA